GCAAAACTACCACAAACATGCCGGAAAAACAAAATTATATCGACGTAATAAAACTAATTGATTAGGTTTACGCAGTCAACAGCGCCGCCGGCGTAAATTATAAATTAGATAATGTAATAAATGTAATAAATCAATAACGTAGACACACGGCGTGTCTTATCTAAGTCGAAGGGCTGGCATGGGTGGGGGTAGCGTGCGACCGTCTTCCGCATCAAGTTAATTAACGAAAACTAAGTTCATCCAATTACCGAAAATCCAATAATATATTTTATTCGACGCGTAGCTAACTCTCGGCAAGGCACAGCCTGTTAGAAGGAGTTATCCTGCTACTGCTACTGCTACTGCCACATAGAAGCAAGTATCCTTTATTCGGGTGATGGCGGTCGCGGGGGGTAACATACGTCTCGTTCAATTTCGAACCGATTTGCCATCAAACTTCTGGCGCACACTTTGTACACTCAATACGTTGGTAATTGATTTTGAAGTGGCATATACAATGTGATTCAAGTTTTCAAAGAATTTACCTTTTTAAACAGCATTGGGGTAGTTATTGGGCAGATTGGCATCATCACACAAACACACACTAATAAAAAAAGTTTTGTCTTTTGTAATTCACTAATAGGAATGTAAAATTGTCTTATGTAGAATTGTGGACCGACACGAGGCACGAATGCGCGAATACTGGCGTAAAATCGATGCGAAGTATTCGACAAACGCTGATAAGACGTTAAAAACCAGTTTTTATGTTGCTACAATCTACGTTTGTTTTGATTAAAACGTGAGAACTCGCGTTTTACAGCAACGTATATTTGTTTATTTTTGTATTGCACGAATATTATTTAAATTCAAATAAAAATTAAATATAAAATAAATTTTTATATTTTTAAAATTAATTTCTTAACATATTTATTATAATAAGCCTAGAATCAATAAATTTGATTCAATAAAATTAAATCCCTACTAATATTACAAATGCGAAAGTCCTGATGTTTGTTACACTTTCACGCAAAAACTACTTAACCAATCATCATGAAAATTTGTACACATATTCTTAGTGGTCCCCGAATGGTTATAGGCTACTTTTTATTTAATAAAAAAATTATTTTTTAAATAAAATAAAGAAATTGTTTAGCTAATAATACCCCTGTATCTGGCTATTTGACTACTTTAACGCCATCTAGCATTCCAGCAATGAAGCTCAAACCTAAGAACTATAGTACCATCACACTGTATTATCACACTGTATTACCGACAGCTACGTCAACATCAAATCCAATTGACTACACTATGGAGACTGTACACTATACTTCCATAGACTATACTTTCAGCCATTTTAAACTTCCCGCCATTCTACTTCATTGTTACTTCTTCGGTGACTACAGACGCGTACGGAAGCAACTTCATTATTTTAGATATTCGCAAGCGAAGCCGCGGGTTAAAGCTAGTTTATAATATATTTGCATTAAGCAACAAAAAAATCAAATTTTTCTTCCTAGGCAGTAAAGATGAATTTGTTTATCATGAAATCTGAAGAAAATTACCAATAAAACAAATATTTTTTGTAAATTTATACCAAAAACTACAATTTTTCTTCTAAAATTTCTAAACACACTGTATATTTGTACCAATTTGTGGTTTAACTTCACTGTATGTGTATATATGTATATATGTGCATGGCCCAAATGAAATGGTGTGTGTCCGCGATGTGTGTACCGGTTTAATGCCGAAAAGCCCCGTTCGGTTTTCAATTCCGACACGCGGATTAAGGCGCATCGAGGGTGAAAGTTGTGAAACAAGGATTAAATTTGATGAACTTGTACGTGTGCTCCTCCCACACACCCGCACAAATCTAAACACGCATGCAAACTCCAACGGACAAAATGGTAGGCGCTGTGCCTCTTTGAAAGCCTCCCTGGCCAGTTGAAAACAAAAGTTGAAAATGCGCACGATATCGCCGCGCACATCAAAATCGCAAATTCAAATGAAAACGCGAGTGTGAACGTGCTTTTCAGTATTTGGCTTTGCAAAGTACGCAATAAGGTACTTAACAACTTATCAATAACAAAAGCCTTTTAAGTGTTCGCTGCTTATTAATACCGCCATTAAATTATCCAAAAATTTGTTGCATTTTTAAGTTGTGCTGTGATGGATATGATTAAATTTGTATGCGCGTGTATACAGCGTGGATAACATATGTATCAGTATTAGGATTTTATTTCGAGCCAATTTATCTAAGCGCGTTGTTTCGTACGCTTTCATATTCGTTTGCGGCGCGCCGAAAAGTGCTGAAGCGCATAAAACTCACGAAACTAACTTTTCGCATTTACGCCGCCGCCGACGCCGACGCCGAGGCAAAAATATGATTCGCGGAAAAACCTTGCATCATATTCATGTTCACATTCGCGTTCACGCTGATGTCCTTGATGTGGATGTTGATGTGCTGAAATGCGAAACCGGAAAAACGCGCAAAAAAAATCACCGCACGCCTCACAAACGCTTTGTTCTTACACACCGCCTTCCCAACCAGCCCTATTATTTCAAGCTGGATGTTTGGTTAATGTTTTGGATACTTTTTGTGTTGCTCAGGTGAATTTTATTTTGTATTTTTTATGCTCTGCGTGACTGCAACGTAAAAATAAAAATTTTATGATAAATATCCAGCGGACGAGAGCGGCAGTCAATAAAGTTTCGCACACGCAAAGTGCAGCAACTCTCGGCAAATGGCTAGGAAAAGTTAGCGATCGGTGGAAATGCACGCGTAAACAAATAAAATCGGTGGAAATCACGCTCGCGCCAACATGCCGGAAGTTTCGTATTGTTTTCCCTTATGCGGGGCGGCTGGAAGCGCGAAGAGAGTTTATGAGTTTATAGATTTTAGTTTTGGCGAGTTTCCGGAAGTTGAGAGTTTTCGGACGTGCGACAGATGGCGACGACGTAAAGTCATAATTAAAGAATTTACAACTAACTCAAAGTTACTCACAAAAAAGAAGCAACTTAACCTCGAAACAAACATATTTGTTTTATTAGTAATTTTCTTTAGATTTCATATTAAACAAATTCATCTTTACTGCCTAGGCAGAAAAATTTGATTTTGTTATCTATATATATAAAAATGAATTGCTGTTCGTTAGTCTCGCTAAAACTCGAGAACGGCTGAACGGATTTATATTATCTTGGTCTTGAATTATTCGTGGAGGTCTAGGGAAGGTTTAAAAGGTGAGAAAAACTCGAATAATTGCCGGGAAAATCCTCAAAACAGCTCTTTTCTATAGAATAAAATTTGACATTGAGATTCAATCATAGTTATAGTTAAATAGTTGAATTCGAGATGGCGCGCTGAAGTGCATTATTGACAAAACTTTATATAATTAATTTCTTTAAATTAAAATTACTAATCTTATTGATAGAATTGACTCTTACTACGAGTATGTCTAGAACAAGAGAGTAAAAACGAATTACATTTTTATTAAACACTGCCGGAACGAAGTCGCGGGCAACAGCTAGTTGGTTAATACAAATATATAATAAATTAAATTTTATTGAGTCAAATTTACTGATTCTAGGCTTATTATAATAAATTTGTAAGGAAATTAATTTGAAAAATATAAAAATGTATTTTATATTTAATTTTTATTTGAATTTAAATAATATTCGTGCAATATAAAAATAAACAAATAAACGTTGCTGTAAAACGCGAGTTCTCACGTTTTAATCAAAACCAACGTAGATTGTAGCAACATAAAAACTGGTTTTTAACGTCTTATCAGCGTTTGTCGAATGCCTCGCATCGATTTTACGCCAGTATTCGCGCGTTCGTGCCTCGTGTCGGTCCACAATTCTACATAAGACAATTTTACATTCCTCTTAGTGAATTACAAAAGACAAAACTTTTTTATTAGTGTGTGTGTGTGTGTGTGTGTGTGTGATGATGCCAATTTGCCCAATAACTACCCCTACGCTGTTAAAAAGGTAAGTTCTTTGAAAACTTGAATCAACAAACAAAAAAAAAACATAAATATTTTACTGTTATCATTGCTATCCTTACTATCCTTGCAACACTAAACTTAAGCCGTGGCTAATTGCGGTGAGGTGTGGAAACGTCCAGATAAATAGAAAGCTTAGCGATATTTCCTGCCTGTATCGGGCTAGGCTTAACGCTTGTCTTTCCACCCCTCGCGGCAGGGGTAGCACCACCCCTACTATCACATCCGCCCCGATACCGCGTGTTTGCGAATCGCCGAGGATCACAATCGTCTTATTTTCCTATTTTTCTTCATCTACACTTCATTTCCCCTCGGTTTGTGTCGGCCGGGCGCGATAAACTCGCCGCCGCCGAGAGATACACAATGTGACAAGGGCGCGAAGGGCTGAGACGCGATGAATAGCGCCTAAACGGATCCAGGCGGATGAAAACACAGATAGCGAATCAGTAAATAAATAATTAAACGGATTATTGAAACAAGAGAAATTCGAATTAAACGGAATAAAAATTTGTTAATTAATTATGTCAGAGCAATTGTAGTAATAATTGTTGGATTCACTCTGGGGGAAATTATAACATGTGAGTGAAGGTTCTGAATGTGAATCAGTGATGGAAATAAATTAAATATGATTTTCATGAATACGAGTAGATTGGAATCGTAATAATAATAACGCGATGATAAAATTTGAATAATTTCTGTTTTAAATTAATTACGCAATTACCAATTAAATAAAATTAATCATTTTTATCGAAATCGATGTATTATTAAATTATAAACTCATTTTATCAAAAATTGTGAAAAACTTCATTTTTACAAAAGTTATAAACAAAATTACGTCAAAAAAAATTTTAAATAAAATTTTTCAATTTTTTGACCATAAACTGATGAAAATTATTGATTAAAAATATGTTTTGTTATATTTATGAATAAATCATGTTTGTGTCAAGTAAAAACTACCATCCTGTCCATAAAAATAACAAAAATTGAAAATTCCAATAAATTGTGGATTTTATTTACCTGTAGGTAAATCTTCCTCGTCAGGACTGACAGTCAGTTGTGCGTCAACACAATGATAGCTCAAAAATGCCGCGAGCACGCAAATCACGCCACAAACACCACGCATTTCACACATTTTAAACATTTTCATCATCGTTACAATTCAGGAAACTTGGTTAATCCATTAATGCATTCATGCAGCTGTCTGCTTTTTACCAGGGTATATTATTCAACACACAATTCAATCAATTCGCACAGCTTTTAGCACACAAGCAACACTATTTTGATTTTATACATGAAATCCCACACTCGTAACATTAAATTTAAATTTATTAAATAGTACGTATTGTGATATCATGATTTCTATGATTTACATCCAAGCACCAAGTTTATTTCGTAAATATTTTCGTAAAATATTTCGTAAATATTTTCGTCTTGTTTAATTTAATTCACTGGGAAAACTTTGAGAAGTTTTCGCGAATTTCGAGTGCCGCGAGAAATAGCTGGTGACGCGCGCGCGTGTCTCTGCCGGAACGCAAAAAGCCACCCCCCACACACGTAACCAACCGGGTCGCTACTGACGCGGCGCTCGGCGTCGAGGCGCGCGCTCGCTCCAGCCAAACGGGGGAGGAAATCCTTTTCCGCGGAAAGCGCCACCCGAACGCTCACGGACCCGCACGAATCTCGCTTGCTCACGCTGCAAACAAGGTGAGAAGCGAATTTTAAGATAATAAAATATTTAATACGCACACTAAACTTACACTTGATTTAATTAATCACTACACACTGTATATATTACAACTCTGAGTCATATTTTTACCCCTATGTGAGTAATAATTAAATCAGCACAGTTTTATTTCAAAAATTTATTTTTTTTAATTTTAAGTGAAAAATAAATTGTGTCAGATACTAATGTGCACTTAAAACAATGAACCAGTCTTATAAAACTAATAAAAACCATCCAAAAAAAAAGTTGACGAAGTGCAAGCACATTTCTCACTTCTCCGCGCACCCAGCTTTGGTAATTTATTAAGGTAGTACACTACCTAACTAGCTAGTTCGCTGGCACGCGTTTTATCTTGTTTCCAACCGTAGACGACACACAACATTTTTTTTAGGTTTTAACAAGAGCGTTAACTGGTCTTTGTTGGCGGCGAAGAATGTGTATATGTGTGGGTGTGTGTATGTGTGGACTTTTAAGCGCAACTGTCACCGATCGGTGCCCGATGCGGCGAGGATGCAGCGTGACGGCAAACTAGCGTCATCGCCATCAGTGTTTTACTTATAGCCGCCCGGCGGTCACATCGCCGCCAGACGATCCGAGGTTTCTCGGTTTCATCACACAACAGAGATGAAAGTGCAGCGAACGAGCGAACAGATCTGGAACAGATGAGACTAGAATAACTCCAATCGAATGACTTGATTATTAGAATATTTTCATTGCAACTTCTGGTCGCGACTTTTTCAGTGGAAAATTTAATCAAAAAGTACTTCAATTAATTACTTTCTAGGTTTTTGACCAGTTTTAGTTGAATTTTATCATTGAAATACTAAATTTTAATTTAAAAAATTAATAATATTCTTATAATCAACTTTCATCCCTTATTTTACACCCCTACGATCAATTTTTTACGACCAAAAATTGCCTATTTTCTTTTCCTTATTCTGAAATATCTCCATACCAAAATTTATCGGAATCGACTCAGTGTATGATGCGTGAAAGCGTAACAAACAATTTCAACTTTGAATATATTGAGTTTTATGGTACACATTGTATATAAATATTATTTTTTGCTCATTTAGAACTACTTAACATCACTTAAAATACTTAAAATTAAAATTTTTGAATTCTACACTGTTATTTTGTAGATTCTACGAAAGTAATGTTTGTAATGTTGAAAATGTACGCAATGCAGTTGCATTTTGGATTTCGTGCTGTTCCACGCTGTGCAGTAGAGCGCGTCGCGACGCCGTGAGGCTTTTTATCACCGCATTTCGGACGGCCAGATGTTCGGCGACGTTTGCGTTTTCAGCCAACGCCACATAAAATGAACGCAACTAAAATTTACAAATTCTCAACCACTTAAAATTAACAGCACCATAATAAATGCAACATTTATTAAACACATTAATTAATAGACATGCATAAAAATAAAAGTAATTAAAATTGATTGCATTAACACACATATTAAGGCTTTTTGAAGGCTATTTTTGGTGTTTCGGTAGCATATGTGAAGCGGTGGTGGCGCAGCCGAGTATCGCTTGGCACGCAACCAAAAATTTCATTCCGATCCCTCCGATTATCGTCATTATCTGGGAAATACACTCGGATGATTATACGTAATGCGTGCGACGCGCGTGCCGCCAACCACCCGATCCATATTCATTCGTTCAACCGCCGAGCATTTTCTCGCACATTTTGCCCTTTGTGAATGCCGCAAGCGGAAGAAACTGAAGATTATCGTGCGGGAAATCTTCAGGAGATGGCAAAATGGAGACATTCTTCAATTTCACACGATTTTAATCTTTAAATAATATACTAGCATTAAATATACACAAATAGTGTCTTAAGTCAGCTTTGTTTTATTTTTTTCTAACTTTTTTTATTTTATCTTCGTAATTTTTATTAGAAATGTGTAAAAATACTTGAAAGATAAGAGAAATGCTAATAATGTATTTTAGCGCCATCTAGGATCTAATTATTTAATTATATCTATGATTGAATCTTTATACAAACTTTTATTCTTTACTAGCTTTAATCCGCGGCTTCGCTCGCAAATATCTAAAATAATGAAGTTGCTTCCGTACGCGTCTGTAGTCACAGAAGAAGTAACAATGAAGTAGAATGGCGGGAAGTTTAAAATGGCTGAAAGTATAGTCTATGGAAGTATAGTGTACATTCTCCATAGTGTAGTCAATTGGATTTGATGTTGACGTAGCTGTCGGTAATACAGTGTGATAATACAGTGTGATGGAACTATAGTACTTAGGTTTGAGCTTCATTGCTGGAATGCTAGATGGCGTTAAAGTTGTCAAATAGCCAGATGCAGAGGTATTGTCTAAACATTTTCTTTATTTTATTTAAAAAATATATTTTTTTTATTAAATAAAAAGTAGCCTATAACCATTCGGGGACCACTAAGAATATGTGTACAAATTTTCATGATGATCGGTTAAGTAGTTTTTGCATGAAAGTGTAACAAACATCAGGACTTTCGCGTTTATAATATTAGTAGGGAGTTAACACCCTAAAAATTAATATTTTTGATATTATAATATTTATTGTGCTATTCTGGGTCAAGATGAATGCAACAATTTAGAAATCATCAAAATCTGTTCAGCGGTTCTTAAGTTATTAAAGGTGTAACTAACAAAACTTTGTTTAAATGTATATAGATAATGATTATTGGGAATGTTATCCAATTCCCAAATTGCTTCCTCACACAAAACAATACCAACATTACACATCCACATCCACAACAACAATTGTTAACATTGATGTTGATGTTCTTGCTAATTTCACAATTTCAATAAATTTAACCGACATTTCTCCGGCGCGCAACTTTTGCGCCCCCATCGCTTCACATTACCCGATAAATTATGTTACGCCCTGACTCTGCACATTATGTAAATTCCATTTTATATTCTGGACCAACGAGACGGCTGGACTGTGTTCGACGTGTAAACTATTTTATTGCCTCGTCATCCCCAAAGTGCGACTAAAGCACTTTGCCTTCTGGGACGTCCACGTTCAAATGCGTGGACGTAATGACCAAACGAATAACGACGAAGCTAAGTACTTATATTTTGACGGTTTTGACTAAAATGCTTCAAGTGTGAAATGGCTGACATAAAACGCACTTAAGTGGTTCAAGTGACGCGTTTAAGACAACTAATAACAACATAAACACGTAAACAAATATTAAATTGAATATTCAGGGTGGTCCCTTGGATACTTTTAAGAAAAAAGTAAAGTATTTATCAGTTAAGTCTACTTAAGTCTACTTAAGACTACTTAATTCAACAAAAAACAAAAAAACACGTTTTATTTTTGATTGAATTAAAATCAAGTTTACTTAAGACTTAAACCACTTAGTCTAAAATTCTGCTGTTAATATTCTAATATTTACATACTGTACCTAGATACTTTGAGAAATATAATTTTGCAACAAATAGATTACCGAACATGACATCCTAGAAAACGTAGTAGATAGAAGCTTATAGATGAGAACAAACCTGCGGTTATACCGATCATAATTGATTTACGAAGACACATATTACTACCTTGGCGGCGCACGCCGCCGCCACCACGTCGCCGCCGACGAGGATGCGCGCATTAAAGTGTCAATGTTTTCGACGACCATCTGCACTTTGCTTCCGCACCGGTTCTTAGCGGTTTCCCATGCTCTTCGACGACACGTTCCGGTTTCTCATACAACCACCAAGAAGCAATATCTGCTGTTTACCTAAAAGCCAAGTGATACGTACCGTACTCTAGTTTATACTCATCAAAATTTATTACAAACTATATTTATATGAATAAAACAAAGTTTTGTTAGTTACAGCGTTTATAACTCAAGAACGGATGGACAGATTTTGATTATCTATGATTTTTTGGATTTGTTTTAGTCTGGAATAGAAGAATAAGTATTAAAATGTTAGAAATTGTGGTTTAAAGGGTGTTAAATAAGGGATGGAAGTTTATATGTAGATTTTATCGTAAATATAGTTAAATAAATCAATGAGAGATGGCGCAAAAGTGCATTACTTGCCTTTTTTTTTCAAAAAATTAAATTTGAACACATTGTATAATAATTCTATATTTGATATGAAGAAATATATCTTGTGACATGTTGGATTACATCCGTGCACTTGAATCTTGAATTTCTTAGTGGTTATCAATAAGGTCATAAATCGTCTTGGCAAACGTTTTAATTAAAACTAATAACTTCATTAAAAGCCCGTCAAAATGACATTTTGTTATCGATTAACGCCGGCTGTCATCGTACTCAAAATAAAGTCGAAGAAATTCATAGAAATAAAATTTCATTCATTGATAAAAAAGTGTTTAAACGAGATTTTCACATAATTCAAGCGCGCCTCCCAATAATTCTCGCAAAGCAATTAATATTTATCATCATGACTTCATGACTTTACGCGCCACGCACAGTCCAAGTCGTTAAATTGAATAATAGCGCTGTTTATCTGCTCCTATCTCAATTTGGTTTTTTTATCTGAAATAATGTGACTTTCAACTGTCACCAGTCTCGAATTTAACTCTTTCTAAAGCCTACTGAATGAGCAACAGTTGAAAATAGAAAAAAATGAGAGAAACAAAAGTCGGCTTTCAGCGCAAGCGTAAATTTAGTAATGAAATAAATGAGAAATAAAAGGCCTCCGACGTCGTGTTTGTCGGCGCCGTTTAATTGACAGTTACGTACGGATGTGTCGCCGAAAAAGATAACGAAATAAGCGATAATAAATAACTCTTTCCGCGGCGCGATTCCGGCGGGCGCGTCAAGAGTTTTATTTGAGTTATTCGAGTTAAGTGCTTATTGTTTTCATTCCGATACGATGCGGGGCTCAACACGTCATGTCACCAACAAATACATCTATATGTAACGAAAGATAAAAATAGTTCTGGAGTAAAATAAAATTCAGTTGACGCAAAGTTTATTTTTGAAGAAATTTATTTGGATTACGGCGCGGATTCCTGCGGATATTTTTAGAAAGTTTTTATAAATCATCTAAGTGGAATTTTTGTTGTTTTATTGAAATTTATGAGTTTTTGCGAATTCACAAGTGCATCGTCAGCGTGTTTCCTGTTCAATAACATGTCAATAACCTTTATTGCAGTGCAAAAGAAACGATTATTATCCGCTTCGAATAAAGCGCAACTTTAAAAGATCTATTATTACAACATCTTTTTGCTTCCGGCCGCACGCTGCGCGAAATTCCCACATCGTCGATTTATGTCGGGAAACTTACAAGTTGTATAAAATGTAAGGTGTATGCCTCACTCAAATGCTGCACGTTTAACGAGCTTCGATAAAATGTTAAATCAGAAGAAAAAAACAAATTTCATCATTATCTCGGCGATTTAAAGGTTAAATTAGTATTTATTGACTCTAGTGCTAAAAATATGACTTTAAACACGCAAAAAAATTAAAAAAACATAAAATTTTAGGTTTATTTTTCAACACTAGGG